AGTGAGACCTGGTGAACAGATTCAGTGAGCGTGGGGATTGGCTGTTAATTACTGATAGAAGTACCGGGTTTCAAGACTTGTACTCTTGGCGGAAGCATGGTGAATTAATGGTCGGCCCAACTGCCGTATTGTACCGGGGGTTAGAGCGGAAATGTGAGCTCGGGCAACGGTGAATTCGGGGCCGTTGGAGCGCAGTGGCGCTGGCTCGAGGATAGGAATAGGAAGTGTCCAGTCTTTGGGGGGTTGTTTTCTAGTTTTCCAATTTGTTTTTTTGGGGAAAAGCCGTATTTTTTGCTGGGTCGGTGTGGTTGATGTAGGTGGGGCGGATATAGGGATAAGAAATGGGCACCGTGGATGGAACTATGAAAGATTTCTAGTATTGGGATTCTTAAGTTTTCTGGTATTGGTTTTTATATGTTTATAGGAGGCGGTTCGTCGGAATTGGTTGTGTGGATAAGGGGCATATCAGCTGTGAGATGGCACCAAGGCTGGATTTTCTAGGGTAGGAAGTCAGGGGTGTTGCTGGAGGGTGTCATTGTAAGTATTTACGTCTGCTGGCACGTTATACTGGTATATAGCGGTTAAAATGGGTGAATACTTGTATAATTTAGTTGACTCCGTCTTGCCTGGTGGCATGCTAGGATAATGTTGGGTTGGAAGAACTCTTCGCCTGCGTGGAACGAGTGCGGATATTGACCGGAGTGAGCTATTTCTTGATGCATAGAGTAGACTTATTGGGAGCTTTTTGCAATCGGCTTAATTGGCATCAAGACGTAGCTAGGTGTCTCGTAATTTTTATCTCGTGTCTTCTGCGGAATTAATCTTTGTAGGCATTAGGAAAAGGAAAAGATGAGGCAAGGGCTCTTACGTTTTTTAAGTAATGGTGCTTCGATTCGCTGAAGGTTTGAGGTCAGTGAGTGCGAATTATTTCTTCCATATTTAATTATCCCAAGCAAGAAGTATCCAGAAAACAAGAGCTTGCAAGACATATGGCAAAAAATCCATGCGCATCAAAAATTCACCATTCGTATTTCCGGATACTTCTCTTGCCTGGAACAAGTACAGTATAGATGTCTGGCTGTTGCTCCGTCAGAGGGTCAGGTCCCGATCTGCAGGTCATGCTGTGACATTGTTATTTTTCTGGATTAGCTTGATTCATTTATTTCATAATAATATTATCATGATAATATCTTTGTCTAGGGATTGGTAAAGGTACTGACGTGGTACTGAGTAAAACATTCCTTTCCTACCTGATATTGCATAGCTTACTATATCATTTAATGTCCTGGCCATGTGATGATCATATTATGGGTGTACTATACCCTCCACACTGAGGGATTTATTTTATCATTCGCTCTCACTCGGCTTCAAGAGATCTTTCTGTGGGGAGTTATATAAGAAAAAACCCTATTTTTGCCCATCCTCTAATTTCATGGGTATTTGATCTGCTGCCCCAAGCGACATCGACGATCCTCTCCTATGCATACCTTTTTAAGTGTAGATATCTTCTTAGGCTTAGGCGAAGCCGAAAAATTGAAAAGGTAGTTACGTTCCTTTCAAGGTAGATGCTTCCCCCTGCCGGGCCTACATTCTAGAGGAGTATTACTGCTTTGGAGGAGACACGAGCCTGAACTCTAGGGTGTCCAGTTTATGTTTGGACTGGGTCATTACTGTGAACTGCTTACTGTAGCTAGGTAAATTAGTTTTCCAAGGTACGAAAATACTGGATCTACCTACTGGGAAAGACTAATCCGGCCCAGTAATCTCGCCATATCTAATAGCGTGTTAGGTTATTCTCATATTATCGGGTACTCTACTTCCTCGGCTCGAGGGCGTCCATCAGGGTTTTTTTCTCCGAAGAGCTGCCTTTGCGTAGGAATAATTGGGAGACCGAAGTCCCTACATAGGTCAGCCTCTTAACACCGGGCAAGTAATGAAACATGGTATGACATAAAGAATTAGAATCGAGAATTCGAGGGGGTTTTTCCCTTTTTTCACTGAAATCTAGTCCCCCCATACAACGGATGATAGAGTGCCTAGGTGCAGAGGGAATCAGGTAGCCATCCTAGTGATGGAATACGGGGATTATTAGTAACACCAAGATATACCCTATATTCTAACCTGGTATATTTTTGGGCCAAATTTCTACCGCGCAATAACTTAGGCTCCCTCTAGTCATACAATTTTACAGTGGGCGTAGGCAAGAGTGTCTCCTCACAACGTCTCACTAGCCGTATTTAATCAATACGAAAAGCCTATGGCTAGAAATAAATAATCTGGGAACAGAATCTATACGAGCACAATGTAACTTTGGTCAGCTCTGCACTCTTGCTCGACTGCCTTGGTGGCATAGGTTGGCAAAGCCAAGTCTGGGGTTTGCGAGCCTGACCAAAGTAAACCCACTAGTTCACACCTTTGCAAAAGGGAGACTCATCCCCAAAATAAAATAAAACCCAATAATACGAACGGTAATCCCTTGGTACCCTTTTTTTTATGACAAAAGATAAGCCTTAGGTTACGATGAGGGGGAATTGAAAATGAGGTCTTGCTGGGAGTCGAACCCAGATTACGGAAATCAGAATCCCGGGTGCTAGCCATTACACTACAAAACCGTAATAAATGCTAAGGATACGCGAGTAACAAGCACCTGGGGCTAGTAAATTTGGGCCTGAGGAAAGGCTCCTAGTTTTTGGCATCCTGCACGCTGAAAATGATTTGTTGGAAGGTTTAAATTGATGGGCTCTTTGGGCACAACATGGATTAAATTGATGTTTGATCCTGATGTAGTGCATGGCGATCATTAGGGAGACTGCGGTATAAGGATGCTTTCTTGAAGGTATTCAGATACTAGGGATATTTCGTAGCTATGTGTTCCAAGGGTATGCCTGTAGTGTAACTTATAAAATTCGTTGTTGGCTAAGCATAACGCCGTATTTGAATTGGCTAGGGTAAAGGGCATTGGGGAATGGAATTTTTCTAGCTAGGAAATTAGGCGGGATATAATATTTATATAAGAGGGCTGTGGATAAAGGCACCGCGGTAATGCTTACGATAGAATGAGACTATACTTGAATGCGAGACGTTTGTATCGGATATTTTCATAAAAGTTTTGTTGGCACTTAAAGTGCCTTATGTTATACCAATGTGCCCGGCAGGGCAACAAAGTGCAAGAGTCTGGTGAGATTGGCTGATGGCACAACCTGGCACAATTCAATTGTTGTTGACTGGTTTATGTTATTGAAGAAGCAAATATTAGGGTTTTTCAGTACAGTGAGAACTTGCAAAGATGGGAATGGGGGGTATTCAATATTAATTGGGCTTGCAGATAGTTTCTCTTTCTTCTTATAAAGTTATTTTATTTGTACTCGTACATGTATTGCCTGGGCACTACATAGTGCCGTGCCAGGCACATCGAAATGGAGGGTTGCGCCAACAACGCTGGGTACTGTGGCGAGGTCTGAGCAGCAACAAAAGTACCAGTACAAGATTTTGTGCATACTCAAGTAATTTGAGCCGCAAATGTTTGGCCAAGCCTTGTTTCAGTACCTTTGTTGCTGCCAAGACATTGCCACAGTACCTCTTTTTCCGCGAGAACTTTGAGAACAGCCTAAAAAAATCAAACAAACAATCGACTGGGAAGCTTCCAAAACTACCACCATGAGCAGAAATCCGCCACAATCTTCGAAACCACTCGTACACCCACTCTACAACGTAACTTACACAATCCACCGCCTATCCCCTCTATATAAATTCCCTCCGAGATCAGACTTCAAGTCGCACGCCCGATCCCTCCAGCAAATTTTGCGGGGCGATGTCCTTCGCGGAGTACGCATTGCGCTCGACAACGAGGACGAAGCACTGGGACGAGCGGGTCGGTTGAAAACCGTGACATGGGAGGTGTTACCTAGTTGGCAAACGTCGAGCGAAGATGACGAGGAGGAAGCGGCGGAGGAGGAAGCGGGCTCGGGAGTAAAGATCGAGATGCAATATGAGAAGACAACTTACACATCTCTATTATTGTCATCGCCTTTAGGAGCCACTGGGCTAGAAGATGGCGACCAAGAGTTTACTGAACTCCCTTTACTTTTAACACGCCTACCTAAATCCCTCCGGGATACGCTGCTTAGCTACCTCTCTACACGATTCGATATCCTCCCGCTACCGCTAGCACTCCCGTCGTCGCTATTACAAAGGTCGATGGAATACTACTTTTCACACACCTACAGTCCGCCGAAGGATGCGCAGATCTCTTTCGCTACGCCCACTACTACTCTCAAAACAATCGCCGTAACTATCCCCCGGGATGATATTGCCAAGTTTTGTGCCCGCGGGAAGCAACTTCCTGGGGGAGGATTTTACGCGGCATTGAAGCATTATCTTCGAGGAACTATGGCACTGGATGCCGAGTATTTGACGATTGCTAAGGTGGCGTGCGGGGGCTTTGTCTTAGGTGGGGGAGCTGGTGGAAAAGTCAAGATATTTCCACCGAGGGATGTAGAGGAGCATGAGGCGGTGAGGAATTTAATCCAAGAGCTTGTCAAGGCAGCAGATGCGTGAGGAAGGGGATCGGGGTTTCCAGTCCACGGTGTAGCATATTGGCGTATGGGTTATTGGTTGCTCTTTAATCTAGGTTGCTTTAATAATTGTATTCTTTCATTGTACTGGTGTATCATATGAATAGTTGATTTTCCGGTGGGGTGCCGTGAATACCTGATGTTATTTAAGAGCTATACGAGTAATTTAGTTGTCGATATTTGGTATCCCCCCGGGCACAGATGTTTCTTATAGATATATAACCTCGTCGGTAACCCGAACAGATCCCGACAATCCGGCTGGTTTCTGGTACCGACTACGAGATCGAATTAGATCGATATCGATTCTAAAGGGCCCCCTACTCAAAATCAAATATGGAATTTTAACTCGCTTTAGCCAAACTATGGACCAAAAAAAATCATGGGAAAGGGGAATGCCTGAGTGGGCCAAAAAAAAAGTGAATTTCGAGGTCTTGCTGGGGATCGAACCCAGATTGCGGGAAATTTCTTAGCCGCCGTGTTTCCAACGAAGAGTCAAAATCCCGAGTGCTATCCATTACACTACAAAACCATTACGCGAATCTTAAAAGCGAAATATTTAATCTCGTCTTGATAACCAAGGAAGCTCAGTAGACTCACCGGGGGTTTGCAAACATCAGGTCTAGAGTAGTTGATGTATCATATTGTTATAAAAAACACTGTACGAGTATAGGATGTGAATATTATTATTTTTTCTTTTCTTTTTTGGCCGATTGGAAAACAACGCATCCAGGGTGCTGGGTGTTATTGGTCTGCTTGGTATCATATAATACGGGAATCGGGTAATAGGACTGGCTTATTAACGCCCCTGATAAATGGCTGTTTCCGATATGCAGCTGAGCCTATTGATGACGAAAGAGGTTGGAATTCCGCAAATGTTTTGCCTTTTTGTTTGCTCGGAAGGCTATCTACAGTAGTTTGGCCAATACGGTTTTTTTCATTATTTACCACTCCGCTCGAGTACCATATCTCGCTGGAAGCGGCACTAAACTTTTGAGCGTATAGTAAGAATTCCGTGATGATTAGTTGTTTAGGCTGGTTGAGTAATAGTTTTTGGGTGCTCTGAATGACTTCAAGCTTGGAACAGGTTTGCTTAGCTTTCTTGCCTGGTTGCTGGACTCGGACTCTCTATTGGCTGGGGAGGGGTTTGAAACTACTACCGTAAAAGCCGGGATAATTGAGAATGACGCTAGGACGTCCAGAATTTCCCCCTTCGGATTAGGGGGTGAAGACACAGTGAGAAAGTTCTCTTTCAGCCCTCGCTGAAGACAAGGAAAAGGAAGTGATACGACAGACCTTACTTGGAGAGGCAACTCCAACGGCCTAGCGAGATTCTCAATTATTTCTATTTTTACAGTATGTGACTGGCCAAGGCCAGTCTATTATTCTTGAATGTCTATACATTGATATCAGTATTATCAGCAAACAAGTGGGACTCTGTCACGCCTATTTAGATGTGCTAGTAGGGGCCCTTTTGAGGCCTATTGGCTCAAACTTCGCTTCCTTCTCCCGCAATTGAGTGCTTAAAAGGCCATTATCAACCGAAAGTCGATAAGGATTGATTCCTGGAGTGCAATTCATACTGTTCAACTTCTAGGGAGAAGCAGCCGAGAAATAAGGAAAGGGAGCTGTGTTTTCTTCTGCAAACATTGAGGGGAGAGCATTAGGATTTATAAACGAAGTTGCATTAGCCTCAAGAGAGCTAATAGTCCTTTAGTATGCACTTTTTCTACCGGGAGTCTTCTATACTGTTCGGCTGGGGGAGATACGGCGGGCTGTACCACGAGAGTTGAAAAAGGTTGAGAGTGAAGCCGTGGCTGAGCAGGAGTGGTAAGGTTGAGCGCTATGGTCCGGTCGAAACTCGTGATTGTTGTTATCGAACTCCTCTTCTTCAGAGGTAAATTGGCTCAAATCAGAGCTTGACTCGGTTCTAGAGATATCAGAAGTAACTATCTCGTCCCGATTCCTTCGCCTGTCTTCTGTTTTTGGGGCGGCACCGGGATGATATTTTCCGCCCCTTCGACTCAGTCTTCCCATAGGGGTTGCCATATCCTTAGGGGTTAAAATACTGGTTCAATTGGCAAGATGTTGAAACTAGTTCTTGTACTGACTGCGGTGGAGGGATAGTAGTTGTTTATATTGCTTAATTTCCAAAATTCGAATGGGAAATACAGTGCATTTTTTCTTCTCACCCACTCGAGGTAAGACCATGCGCAAAGAAATCTATCTTATGATAGTGATATACTTTCAGCTTTGTAGAAGGTAGTTAATATGTGGCCAATTACTAGTAAAGATACACCGCATGACAAGTGTGAGCTGGCAGCAGACTATTTTCGATTATCACTCTAATATACAATATTCATAATACTTCCTTACGACCCTTCCGTTCACCTCTTTTTTCCGCTAAAGAGTTAGTAGATAGGAAGGAAATTGTCTGCCCTTTAAACAATATTATTTGCTAGGGAATTTGACGATGAATACTGATGAGACTTATGCATACTCTCTATCTCCCGGAGAAGCAAATGAAAGCAAAAGAATAACACAAATTACCCTCCTTAAATATTTGCTACTCCCACCAAACTCACATAGTCTAGCTGTCACGAACTAGCCTTCCCTTAGAAGGCGCCTATCCCCGCTGGAGCGGAAACCCCATTACTGTTCTATACCCACCGTTCCACTCTGAGCAATCTGTGAGTAACCACATTCCCTCCGCAAAACGAAACTGAGTCAAGAATGCACGGTCAATGGAAAATAGCTTATATTTTCCTAAAGAGGAGAGACGGGACACCCCTCAGTTTGTCTGATAGATGTTTATTTCGACTCTAGTCAATTCTCATAAAATGTGGTTCAGCGTTGTATTATGGGAACTGCTAACTTGGCCTTTCGTTTCCAGCAGTGAGATGTAGCCGGGCGTATCCAAAATTAGCTGATGATACTTGCATGATAGCAGCTAGTCACCTGGGTTAAGCCTAGGACCCATGAGGGATGACCGAAACAGAATTCTGTAGCTCCTGTCGCAGTGAACTCAAATACCCCCGCCAGATATATGTCAACGGGTAGAGGGATTTCCTGGTTAATGAGCCGGATCCTCTCCGAAAGTGGAAAATACCAGCTTCCTGTTAGGTCTCTTGGTCGCCCCCTGCCCCCCCCCCCCCCCCCACCGCAAACCTAGTTACAGCTAAAACCTCATACATCTCGGTAGCACTAAGCTATGGCGTAATGTCTATAGAGTTTTTGGCTTAGTTTCCGGGAGTTTGGTTCCCCGAGAGAAGTCCCCAAAACCAATTCTCAGATGAAGGTGCGATCAGGGCTCCGCCGGACCAAGATCCTCTATTTCCCCCTACTAAGTGCCTTGACCGCCTAGTGAGCTTTACTGTCCCTAAGACTATTACTCTATACTTTCGGCAATATCGTAACCAAAATGTGCGGTGACAAAGGGAGGTGGAGGTGGCAGAGGGGGGTAACCTAAATTCCTAGTCATATTACCCTTTATAAACATACTCTTAATTGTAGGCCCCTATCCAAGCCGTTGATAGGAATTAGTTCACCATCTCAGTCTATACTATACAGCTCGTCAACACGCGAAAAATAAACCAGGAGAGAAAAGTCAAACTTAAGAGTGGTGCACACATGGATGTTTACAGAGGTTTCCCATCACAGCCATAGAACCAACTCGGACGAAGCTCTACCAAACACACAGCTAAGCGCGGCCCCAAAGGGCTCCTAACAAAGGCCAGCAATCCGTGGTAAACACTTCACAAGCATCCCAGAGGGCTTAAGTACGAGTCCTTGGCTCCCCCACCCCTCCGGGCTAAGATATAAACATATAAACATAGAGGGGTACGATTTTTTGTCAAGGCATGATCCTTGGCACACGCTATCGAATGGTGTTGCTAGCTCAGGTGTTCAGAAAGGATTCTGCCTCCTGTAGTAAGGACGTTTAGGTCGACAAGTTAAGGCCGATCAACTAGTCAGCGCGTATAGTATAGCACTCTACTGTGCCAGCACTCCAATGGAACATGGGAATTCCCCTTCCTAAAGGCTTCAGAAAGAATTGGCTGAGTTCCCAGCGCCTCTATAAATTTGATGTTATTCAAAAACCCAACCATTTGGAACTGGCGGATACAGTGCCAAAGCGCCTGCGGTAGTTCAACCCAAGCACCCCCTACTGTCCGTTACTCCGTCGATCCGCCGTGCCACTTCCATGCTGTCAGACATGCATGCTCACAATAATTTTTACTTTATTCTTTTATTTCATTTCCTCCGACCGTTGGTGCTTTCTTGTGTAAGCATGGAGATAAGTATTTTGTACTTTATGCCATGCTTCTCTACGGGACTATGCTCGAGCAATCGAATGAGGACGCCCATCCAGAATGGAAAGTTAGAAGTTGGGAGTTGGAACTCTTGATAAATATTTGAGAGGCAAGGGAACCCCATGGCAGGAAATTTATGTCATTGCTTATTTCTTGCTGTTTCTACAGCCTCGCCTCTGGTACTGGTACTGAATGACAGCCTAGGCTTCGGGTTTCTGACTTCTAACTTTCGTTTATGCACGGGGCGCCGTCGCTCTAATAGACAATGCGGTTTCAAATAGGCTAGGATATACCCCCACAAGTTATTGATATCGTAACGGGCCTCAGGATGATAAGGCATTGAGAACATGATGTGAAATTCTTACTTATAAAGACTAACATATCGCATGAGGAGCTTCTGCCGACTCCTTTCCAAGCAACCGCTATAGAGTGGATTTCATGGGTGTTACCACTATATTATGATAACAACCCAGAGGGTTAATAATAGTATTTTCTTAATAATTTACCCGTATTTAACCACGATGGTATTTAATAACGTTTCAAGCATCCCTTTCCTTTGGACACCCGAGCTCAACACATAAACAAGAACGTTAGGGAGACTTCTAGAAGAACGTGATACCCGACAGATTCACTTGTATCTGAATATAAACATTTTTTACCCCTTCTCCATCATTGTTTTCGTGTGGGCGTTAAGATCTGTCCCAGGGGAAAGGATCTTCGGAGTAACAAAATAGATGAAACAACCCTAATCCCGCCACACGGAAGATCTTCTGCGAGGGATAGGGTTGAGTTCCAGGGGCGTTGAAGCTCCGAAACAACGGCTAATATCTGGACTTGGCTCGGCGCTTTCCCAGAGCCAACTGTTCTTGCGGGCAATCGGACGGTTGAGACGAGGAAGGATCCATGAACGAACCCCCCGGCATTCTGACTAAATTAAGCAACACCGGATCGCACCATAGCACATCCCATAATGCGAGTAAAACCACGGTATGGATAGCAATGGTTCCGCCTCCGTCATTAATTGTTCCATGACAGTGCCGCTAGGTTAGGGTGTCGTTTGACTGAAAAGCTGCCCTGCAAGGTAGATCTTGTTCAGTGCCCAAAGTGACCGTCAATAAGTAACTTTGTTTCCCACTCTTCTTTCTATTTTCCCCTACTTCTATGGTCCGCCTTCTGCCCCTAGCTGTGGTTCCATTCTATTCGTTTCAGCACTGAGTGT